CCCATCTCGGATGTGATGAAAGTATTGATTGAAGAATCTATAGACGAGAAGCCAAGGTGGCTAGATATAGATATCCCCACTAGTCCCAAATAGGTGTCTCCCAGACAACCCGGGATAGGGGAGTCGCCAATGGTGGTGGACGGGAGGGCGGAGTTGGAGACGGCAGAGGGGGTGGAGAGGTTGGTGGTAGCGGTGGAGAAGGTGCAGAGGAATTTTTGGGTGGCGGTGGCGGATGAGTTGGAGAGGGGGACGACGAGGTTGTATGATGCTGAGGTGTTGGCGGAGATGTGGCATGCGATTTGAGGGGAGGGTGGTACTGGGATATGTCAAGTTGACGAGATTCCAATATCCAAACATGATCCTCTAAAATCCCCCTTCATAGAGCCACTCTGATCAACCGTACAATTTAATCTTCTACCACCAGCATCCCATCAGTGCCATGTCTCATTATATCTTCGTTCGCGTCGTGTTAAGAACATTCCCTGTACCATCTCAACCAACTTGCACTGGGTGATGGATGATGGATGCTAGTTCCCGAACAGAGTGTCAGAATCAATCTCACAAGGAGAATCCAATGGGTTGGGTAGAAACCAATGCTCTTGGAACCAGCCTTGACCGTACCTCGAACACTACCCCACCACTCATTGCAATACAAGGCCGCCCCCTTTTATTAAAAAAAATTAGCAGTTGGGTATAAATTACTTTCTAATCAGCGCGAATAACCAGAAGTCGCTCACTCTTCCTCTTCATCACCGATATCCCCCTTCGCTTTTCCCCTCTCCACATCCCTCCCCGCTTGCCACAAAACTCCCCCTCTCCTCATCGGTAATGTAAAACGACTTGGACACCATGATACCCATGCCCTCGTCCTCACTACACCGCATCCTCAAACTGCGCTCACTTTCGTTATCTCCGCGCAACTCGCCGCCTGCCATGCGATGCTGCGTCTTGTGGTCCGACCAATGGGGTGCGCCACCAACGGCCGCAGCTGGGACCCCACAGGTCAACTTGAGCGGCCTAGCATCGGCAGTGCGCGGGATGCTACTGTCCGAGTCGGAGTCGCAGCGCGTTTTGACGGTGGCGGAGAGCTGGTATTTGTCTGGGCGAAAGGTCTCGTGTTTGGCTTTCTGAGGGTGAGAGGGTTGGGGGTGGGCGGGGCGGCCGCCGGACAGGGCGTAGGCGGAAGGGTGACGCGAGGGGGCGCCGGTGGTGAGGCCGAGGCGGTGCATGGCGAGGAAAAAGAGGGGGCGGAGGGTGGCGAGGGAGCCGGCGGTGATGGCAAGACCTTGTTCAACTGAGGACCAGATGGCGATGTCGGTAGTGGACCCTGTTGGTGTGATTTGGTCAGAAAGGGCAGGTGGAGTTGTGAGTATTTTTCTTATACGTACAGAGAAAGTCGGGGGAATTGAAGTGTTTAATAAAGGGGAGGCGAGCGATGACGGCAGCACTAGCAATACATCCCATAGTGATGAGCGGGATAAGAGCGATTTTAGTCCTACGTTTGAGTTGAAGGTGCCAAACGAGGAAGCCCGGGATGATGGCAAAAGTGAAGTCAGAGATGATACTAAAGATGCTGTAGACGTAGCCAAGCGCGGTGATGACGGTATTGTTAATACAAGTGCCTTGCTGGCGCTTGTCCCACATGTAGGAGACGGGGTCGCATTGAAATAGGCAGACGAAGAAGAAGGTTCCGCCGGCAACAATGGAAACGATCATGGCGGCGTAGATGATGTACGTATGGAGTTTGCGGACACTGATGCGAAGAAGAAGGCAGCCAATGGAGAGTTTGGAGCAAATCATGGATATCGAATAGAAGAGGTAGCCTGGCGGAAAAGGTTAGGGAGAGGGAAGCTTTCCTGGCTGGCCATGTACGTTGCAGACTTACAAAAGTACCAGCAGTGTTTCGCGACTTTGACATTGTGTTCTGGGAGATCACGGTGGTGCCGACCCGTTCCATACTGGACGCCGATGTTGGAGGAGGTGATGTAGCCAGTGTATATCATCTGGAAATCAAAGTCAACTCGAGCCTCACCAGACACATGAACCAGCATGCCAAACTCACCATTGCAGTGACCATGAGCCAATCATCCAGCCCCCACGCCCTCACCATGCGAATCCGCACAAAGACTCTCAATAAGCATGCCAAGAATGCAGTGGTAACAAAGGCAATATTCACACCCAACAGCTCCGGCCCACGATTTGGAACCGCCGCCATATTGTCAGGTCAGACTTGATGGAGACTTGCAACAGTCCACCACATGCATACTATGTACTGTGGTGTGTCAAGAGAAGAAGAAGAATTAAAAAAAAGAAAGCGAGAGAGAGAAGGGAGAGCAGGCCCAAGGCAAAGGGAAGCCGATCCAAACAAAAGTCGGCGACGTAAAAGGGACCATCAATTCCCTTTTGACCAACGTCTCGTCTCGCCTCGCCCGCCCCCCTCGCCCAAGAACCCAACGAGGGAGTGGAGTGGAGCTATAGAAGGCAGTCCTAATGTCCTTGTGCTGGTCGCCACGTGCAGTGGGTCCTCAGGCACGGTGCACAGCACAGCATCCCGGATAAAGCGCGTTGTCCGTTTCAGGCAGCCTACTGTACCGTTTACTGGTGTATGGGTCCCAGGGCCGCAGAACTTGGCGCTATGCTCGAGGTAGATAGGGGACGACGCACAAGTGGACAGGGTCGATTTGCGGTGGAATGAATGCGACGATGGGTGGGGGACAGGGCTATTCAGGACATAGCTACACCGTACCTAGGTGGTAGAGGTTTCTACCATCCCAACTTGCTACCTAGGAGCCTCGGGGATTGATGGCATGCTACCTACCTAGGTATAGTTACTGATCGCCATGGCTGCAGGAGTCATGCTGCCAGGATTGGGTCGAGAACTGACCAGCAACTCTGCGCATCGCAGCCAAAGCAGTTAGAGTATGGTAGCTCAACAAGGTGGTGGTAGTATTGCACTGCAGAGCATGCAGAAGCAGGGAAGGAGAATTCTTGAGGTAACCCAAGAGGTGGGAAAAGCAAAGAAAAAATTGGGCAATAGGTATGCTGTGTGGGTAGGTTTATGCCTAGTAGAGTACAGGGACATTGTAGGTGGTATGGACCCGCTAAGTGGTTCGCCGGGTAATGAAGCGGAGAGTGCCGGTAGCTGGGGGCTGTGGGAAGAGGTTGAGGTTTTCATGTCGATTTCGAGGCAAAGGTTGGCCCGCGCGTGGATGCACGTGACGTTGTGGGGCTAGCCGCAACCACAACCCCGCCCGTCCTCTTGTGCTTGGCTGGAGATGATTTCTTTCGGCCAGCGTTCCATTTGCCTTGGCTCTTGGCCCCTTTGCACTCGCTCATCCCGCACTCAACCAGCCAGTGAGCAAAAGTTGTACAGGGCAAGGTAATCGGTGGACCTCGAGCAGTTCACCGCTCACACACAGAAACCGAACAAAACAAGCACGCCAACCACATCATCCATGTCTTTAGCCCCCCTTTCACACAGCTCGGAGCCTCCTCCAGGCCATGGAAGCGGCGAACCCAGGCACGGCTCGTAGCGCAGATGATGTCGTAGCTTGTTTCAGACAGCCGGTGATGGCGAGTGTCTCTCCTTCTAGTCTGGACATGGTCACTCGACCCAAGGGCAACTCGTTCGCCGGAACGGGTTATTGGCAACACATGCCGCGGAGCGACTTGGGCGTTTTAGAAAAATCTATATCATGATCTGCTTCAGGCATGTGGACGGGTGCTGGGAAATCATTTACCAAAGTCTCCGCGGGTTGGGAAGACGGGGGGTGTGGGGGCTCAGGGTTGGTCGGGCCTCGCTCTCGCACTCGCGCTCGCACCAAGGTTACCTACTGTCTGTGGGAGAGATATTGACATCTTCAATATGTGGGAGCGTTTATCTTTCCTTTCTCAAAACAAACAAACACTCTGCTGGGAGAGAATGTCCAACCCAGAACCCATTTCGCCTCATCCTGCCCATCACTTGCTTTCTTTTCTCCTCCATCGGATGAACGGGATCAAGTGCATCTTCCGTGTCAAACGTCAACTCCCAGCCCTGGACACTGCGATTGTATTGGCCATGCGACATACGCGCATCCAAGGGCTCCTCCTCTAGCGCCTCCCAACGCTGACTCGCTGCACTCAGGCACCGGCACCCAAGCTCCGCACTCACATCCAGAAGCCCACTACCGTACCCTACATACTAATCATCAGCCTCGGGACTTTGAGAAAACTGCTCAAAAAACATAGGCAGTCGCTGAAACGTCTCCCGAGAGCGCAATCTTGAAACATGCATGCACAATCCCTACCGTACTCCGTTCAACCCAAGTTCTACCGCCGTCTTTTGTCCTTGTTCTTCAACGGCCATATGCACTTGGTTTCTCCGACGCTGTGCCGGGACGGAAGGGTGTGCGGTGCGCAAGAAGCACATGTCGAAATTCAATGGATATGATATGCCGATTAGCTAACACACGGCATCTCTTGTCGGCATAGTGCCACAGTAAGAACCCATAGCACGCATGGCATTCGTACCAACGCCTGGAAAAAAAAAAGAGAAGATTGTTTGTCCGCAAATAACCCTGCATACCCACGTCTCCATATACCCTCCCCCCACACCGCCCAACAAAAATCAAACACAGCACGAGCAATCATTGCAGCTAGGCTCGCGAATCGTCGGCGGGACCGCACACGTCGTCTTGGGCGTATACGGCAGCGCAGGCGAAGGCGGGGTTTCCGTAGTGCTGCTTGTTATCTTGACGAGGACGGGCATGGCGGAGCCCGTACTGAGGCGGAAGGGGCGGTGGTTGAGGACTATTGTTTGTGGGACACGGGAGTCAGTATCTGGGGTATACAGAGGGACGTGAACCTCTGGAGACGGAATCCCACGCCCTGACAAGCACATTTACAGACGCGGCCAAAAGAATAAAAGAATAAGAATAAAGTAAGGCTTACCTCTCAACAAACTCGAAACCGCACCCGAATGCGCAGTCACGGAAATATAGGACGCCCTGTCCCCTCCAAAAATATCATCCAACACTGCCTTGGACCTCGCATCCTGATTCTCCCTCGGCTCCGTCTTCATTTCCATCCAGTACGGGTCTTCCTCCTGAAAGCCGGCTTCAAACGCAAAGGCTGGGAACTGGCGCTCAAGAAAGGACTTGTCGCTGCGACGATCACACGTATGCGCGCTGATGCCCTCGCGCAGGAACTCCTTGACAATGGGCTTGAAGGGCTTGGAGGCGGGTAAGTCGAGGGTTGAGAAGGAGAGGTCAGCGGTGGTGAGGCAGCGGTACAGCGGGCTTGTGTAGTAGGAGTCTGGCGGGGAGATTTTCTCATCCGTGAGAAGGTGCTGCCAGAAGTCTCTGACCTGGGTGGCCTGCTGCGCGCCGAGGGGCGTGAGTTGAGCGTCTGCCCAGGTGACGGTTGCGTTGCCGTTGCGGACAGCCCAGTGGCAGTTCCATGCTGGGGTGCCAAAGTAGGATTCGGCCGCGTTGTGGAAGCCTTCACCGTGGCGGCCGAGGAAGAGGAGGGTGTAGCGGTCAGAGCTGTTGGCTTGGGCGTTGAGGGTGGTGATGTAGTGGGATAGGCGTTGCCATTGGGTGGCTTGTTGGGGGTTGGGGCAGGATGGATCACTTGGGTAGGGCCGTGGGATGAGGCCGAAGTTGGAGGCTGTGAAGTTGAAGGTGGAGGGATCGGTGGCAGGATCGTCTTGTTGGAAGATGCCAGGTACGACGGAATAGGTGAAGGATTTGGCTAGGGAGTAGGCGTTGGCTGTCGAGGATGAGGCGAGGAGAGCATAGAAAAGGAAAGAGGCAATCATGTTTGGAGATGCAAGAGTTGACTACTGGGTTCTATCTGGTGGTAGCTGTTTGTTTGGTTTTATAGACTCTGGCTCGATTTCCTGGGGATCTCGCCCTCGGGATAGTCGTTGGCGATGATGGGGTTGCAGCGATGTTTGCAGCCAATCAGTAGACAACGTGATAGATGACCATGTCCTGTCTACTCCATGTACACCGTTGGAGCGAAGCCAGATGCAACCACGCTCCGTGGAGTCTTCCATTTTTAACTTGCTGACAGCATCCTTGGTCTTGTTGTGGTGTGGGTCGGTGATCTATTGGGTTTGACAAATGCCATGGATGTGTGTCGCATAAGAGGGGTTTATGTACCTACCTAGAGGAACGAATATCATCATCTCGAGTCATGATACTTGGCTTGGATATAACGTTAGGTACGACTACGAGCAGCAGTAAATACTTTAGATGTCGGTGTCAGTGTCGGTGTCGGTGTCGGTGTCAGTGTCCGTATCAAACAACAGCCTGGCCTTCATTGCGTGGGTGGGCCGGTGACATCGACGTTGGGACGAAGGCACGTGAGTGACAAGTGAGACATGGAAGCCGACCGGCCACTAAGCCAGACTGGGACAGCTACCAAGTACTCTTACGGTACTGTGCACAGCTCCACAAAAAAAAGTTGAAGCTATGCTATCCAAGACTCCGTCAACATTTCGCTCCTGTAGTATTCTACGGTCACGCCAGTCGCCTCTTTTCCCCAACATGTTCGAAAATGTGTGCGCCATCCCGCTCGACCACGATCTCTTTGCCCAGGCCATCCACCCGGCCGAGCCCGTTGTGGCTGTCGGGCTTGCCTCGGGTCACGTGCAGACCTACCGCCTGCCTCCCGCCACTGACAACCACAACAACACCACGCTAGCCTCGGAGAAAGGCTTTGGCACGATTGAGACGGCCTGGAAGACACGGCGACACAGGGGCAGTTGTCGCACCCTCGGCTACAGCATTGACGGCGCCCACCTGTACTCGGCCGGTACCGATGGTATTGTCAAGATTGCCGACGCCATGACCGGCCAGGTGGTCGCAAAGATTGCCGTGCCTTTGGATCCGTATGCACGATTCCCGTACACCCCTTTCCCACTGTCGTCACTAAACAAGCAAATACAGCGCCAATAAGGCCATCGACGCCCCGACCCTCGTCCACGCCCTCTCTCCGCAATCCCTCATTCTCGCAACCGACTCCTCAGCCCTCCACATCTACGACATCCGCGACCTCGGCGGCAAATCTGCCCTTAAACCAGAAACCACCCACCACCCCCACGACGACTACATATCCTCCCTCACGCCCCTCCCCGCTACCGCCGCTAGCACCAGCGGCTTCAGTAAGCAATGGGTCACCACGGGCGGGAGCACACTCGCCGTTACCGATCTGCGGCGCGGCGTCATGGTCCGCAGTGAAGACCAAGAGGAAGAACTACTCAGCTCCGTCATGGTTAGCGGCCTGCCCAAAAAGGGCACCAGCGTGGGCGAAAAAGTCATCGTTGGCGCAGGCAATGGCGTCTTGACTCTATGGGAACGTGGCGTGTGGGACGACCAGGACGAGCGCATTGTCATTGATCGCTCCAGAGGCGGTGGCGAGAGTCTCGATGCCCTTGCACTGCTGCCAGAGGGCGTAGGTCCGGGTGGCAAGATTGTCGCTGTCGGAATGGGCAACGGCACCATGCGCTTTGCCAAGATTGGTCCCAACAAGATTGTTGCAGAGCTCAAGCACGACGAGCTGTCGCAAGAGGGTGTCATTGGCCTAGGCTTCGATGTTCATGGCAGGATGATTAGTGGAGGGGGCAAGACAGTGAAAGTGTGGGGTGAGCAGACATGGCAAGATGTTGATGAGGCCGAGGAGGACGACGACGAAGACGATGACAGCGACGATGACAGTGACGTAGATGCGACGGCAACGAATGGCAAGCGCGCACACGATAGCGATGACGACGCGAATAGCCATGATAGTAGCTCCGAGGATGAAACCAAGGGCAAACGCAGGAAGCGCAAGCGAAACAAGGGCGGCCAGGCAAAGGGCCACGGCATCTTGAAGTTCACGGGTCTGGACTGAGGATACTCAGTATAGTGTCTGATCTGGCGTTTTGGGCGCACGGCATCCATGTTCAGTAGCCTTGTTCTACCGCGCAATGGTCCTGGTATGCATAAGAAGGTGGTGCGAAGAGATGAGGTGTATACATGGCCTGTTGGAGTAATATATCGCATGTATGTCCCAGTACCCCTTCCCCCGATATATACACACTGCTCTAGACCTGACTGACTCGGTTATTTCAGAATCCATCCAAACCCGAGTAAAACAAATCCACCCAATTCACATCTATTCACAACATCATGATGAACAAGTGATGCACTTTGCTGCATGCGCGTATGTCTCCTTTTCTGTCCATGCTGGTATATCCCGTAAGTTCTCGCAAGTAGTCAATGGACCGTTTTCGTTTCGTACTTGTATTTGCATCCACAGAAGGAAGTGGAGGGGCAGAATGGTCTGTCCTACCCGCCTCTCTCGTGGAAGTCTTAATCATAATCAGATAGGACATTTGCGAGTTTCCATTACACTACGTCTTCAATCTTGAGGATCACTGTTTATGGAACTAATTCCTGCTCCGCCAGAAATAATAGTGCGGAACATCGCACTCCTTGAACCTCACATAGTACAGATTCTCCAAGGTACGGTGACCCTCGTCATCCCCATCCCTAGCCCCTCCTATTACACTACCCTTCTCCACCTCCCCATCTTCCCAATCCAAATACGCAGGTACATATACCAGCGCCATCGGCTTCCACCGACTCGCTTCGTAAATCTCGGCCACCTTCCTCGCCTTCCTCCTCGCGCGCTGCGCCCGCCGCCACGCCCTCTCCTCCCTAACATCCTTTGCACTCTTTCTCCCTCCCACCCTCCTCGCTCTCCTCTCCTCGCCCTCCCACCTCTCATACACATCCCGCAACGCGCCCGCGCCCCTCTTCCGCTCCGGCAACCGGAAAAACATCGCCCCGGTGGCTCCATCCACACGCGTGCGTGCCGCCCAGTCGACCCCTCGCTCTAGACAAGCATTGTGCAAGGGCGGGAGCAGGAGGCCGGTGTGGGCGGCGCGGCGGGTGGCGGTGGGTATGGCGGGTGTGTAGGAGGGTGGGATGTGCAGTGGGTAGAGGGCGCCGGGGAGGTGCAGGGCTTGCTGGGTATGTGTTGTGTGGAGGATTAGTGGGGTGTAAGGGACAGGGAGGGGGAACCATGTAGTTGAGCTGTGTGTGAGATGGGAGGGTGAGATTGGAGTAAGACCAGATTGATGCAACAACGACAATTCCACCTCCTCCCCCCTCTCGTCCGACCACGCAGGCCACTCGAAAAGCCGCAATCCACAGTCCGGCCTGAGCGTCGGCGTCTCCGGCCCCACGCGCTCTTCCTCCTCATCCTCCGAAGAATCACTCCAACCCTCCGAGTCACTCAATATACACCCCACAACACCCTGCTCATACTCATTCGCCCCTGCATCAACACACTCCCATCCCGCGTCCCCTTCATCCGCACTACTCAACTCCTCCCCCACCACCCTCCTCCTCTCCCTCTCCACCTCTCTTTCCCTGCGCGCCGCCTCCCGCCTCTTCTCCTCCTGCACGCGCCTCTCGCGCTCCGCAAGCGCCGCGTCCTCGCACCGCCGTGTCTCGGCATCAAAGTGGGCGTTTGCGGCTGCCATTTCCCCCTTCTTCATGTCTTTGCGGTAGAGGGCGCGGTCTTTGGAGAGTGAGAGGATGGCGGCGTAGCTGAAGTCGTCGTAGGGTGTGTGGGTTAGGTCGGCGGATTTGACGCGGTGTTTGCCGCCGCGGCGGTGGGGGGTGGATTGGGGGTTTGGAGGTATGAGGGTTGGGGAAGGGGGGGAGGGGGGGAGAGGGTAGAGGGTGGGGTTGTGTTTTTTGGGTCTTCCTTTGGGCATGGTAGGGGGTGAGGTGGGGATGTATGAGCTGGTGTTGAGATGGTTGTGCTGGTTATGCTTGTACTATAAGACGCTGCGTTACTACCGTGAGACTCTTTAAAAGACAATGTAGTCGTGAGTCCAAGTAGATGCCGTAAAGATCCTGATGGATCGACTTGAGCATCCTCGGTCTTGAGTCAGCCTACGATTGAACCGCCGAGCCTGCCATGCCTTTGTTCTCTTGTAAGTGAAAGACAATCGCCCATTGTCTTTGGAGACTTCAAGTCCAGCATCTCCTTTGTTTCAGAGTCAGCACTCTCATCACCTCCCCACAAAGTCAATGCACCGCGTTGTAATCGGCCGACAAAAAAAAACGTGGACATTGTTAACAATCTAAAAAAATCTATGGTATCATATCTCACTACGATGTGTTAACATACACGCCAATCAGCCGACATTTTCGCGGGAGCTTACTTACAGCTCCGATTTCTCGGCATCTGCAACCCGCTTCTTCTGCGTCCCAAGGTCAAAGTAGCCTTCCAACTCCATCCACTCTGCTGCAAAGACGATGACCAGCTTAGCCCAATCCTCGACAGTGTCCATGTCGAGATGCTCGCCGTCGTCTGTGATTTCGTGCCAGACTTTTGGGAAAGGGCTGGGTATAACGTGCAATATTTCGACTCCGCGAGCCATGAAAGGAATGTGGTCGTCCTGCACAGTGCCGCCCTGAAACCTGTCGTTGGGTTTTGCTTTTTCGGGCAGAAACATGGGATCGGCGCGTGGCTTCTTGTTCTCCCGCCCTTTGACCTTGTCGATGTGGTTCGCGGACGTCTTCATCATTCCCAGCCTTCGCAAACGGCCCTCGGCCACGGCCATGTGTCTGTACGCCCAGTGCGTGGTCTTAAAGTACGACGGCACGCGAGGCTCTTTCGAGCCCAGCAGGTCGAGGAGGAGAAAGAGTTCAATAGAATCTAGAGGGGTGCGATAGGTCGATGCTGCTGCATGGAACGTCGTCTCCCACGCTTCCGCAAGCGCACTATCATTTCGTCAGTCCTGTGCAATCAGCAAAGACAATCACCATCCTACCGAGCACCATAGAGACTGTCTGTATCCGTCCAGCTGTGGAAAGCTTCTTCTCCGTCCAGCAAGATAATCTGTACGCCCTTGTGCTCCACAATGTCATCTGGTTTGGCAGCAGCCCACTTCTTCGTCAATGCGGCGTCAATGCTTCGTGCAGCATGCAAAATCATGGCACAGGGTGCTGCACTGTCGGTGGCTCCAATAAAGCCCGTGGGAGTGTACTTGCTGTCGTAATGCGCGACCAAGGCCAGCCTCGAGACATCTCCCGGCAGACTATTGGGTGGATCGCGAGTCGCAATGATGTTGACAAACGGGACCTCTTTGCCCTTGCTCACGGGTGTCGTCGAAGTCGAGTTGTGCAACTCCACCCTCCAGTCCGGTAGATGTGACGCGAAAAAGTCGACAAAATGCTTTCGCACTGCCGCATTTCCTTCGGTTCCAGACACCCGGGGCACCAAAATGGGCGCCATGATCGACCCAGTCTTTATATCGAAGTCATCGCCCGGTCCTGGGAGATGTTTGAGCGTCTCATCGCTAAGCACATGGTAGGCGGTTGCCAGGGAGAGCAGCGAGAGGAGCGGCGGGAGCGCGGATTTGAGAAGCATCTTGCGTAATTTCACGTAAGCGTGGAGGAAGCCTCCCAGGTTGACGATCACGAGAAAAAGGTCCGTACGCAGGTACTAAACATGTTGAAATGGGACCCAAGGTGTACACGTTCGTGGTGATTCGTGGTCTCAACCTTCACCCGGCGGCGGGCTCCGGGGTCTAACCTCACCGCTCCGGTATGCCCGAGAGTCACGTGATGGCGCGACAAAGAGGGTCCGTCAATGCGGCAGGCTTTGTATGTATGCGCCACAAGGGAAGAGACGTGGGGAACTCCGTGTTTCTCGAGTTTAGAATTGTCTCACTACGACATTTATTTTTATATGCATAAGTGGGCTGGCTAGACTGTTTGTTGATCCATGAAGCTTGCGAGGTCTTGCCTGGATGGGGTCGAGCGATGCCTGGCGCACAGGAGCTGTTTCGCACATGTGTCAGGAAGAGTACATGCTCAGATTGGACATCCTTGCTGGTCGGTTTGGAAATTGCACAAGATTGAATAAAGATCATGCTTGACGTCGAATTAGACTAAAGTCCACAAGTCTTGAAGAAATCAAGCATGACATGCCAAGCCCAACCATGATCGGTTTAGCCGACCAAACCAGTGACAGTGACCCAACGCGTCTTCTCACACTCGACGTACCCAGCATCCATCAATTGATATGCAGCCACGGATGTTCGCATTCACAAAGACCTTCGGGGTTGTTGCGACATTGAGTGGCCATGGTGGAAGACCCGTAGTTGGGCGACTTGGAGCCCAATTTGTATGCAGACGTTGTCAGAAGAAGTTTTCTACCTCCCCTACGCTGCGCTTATCTGGCCAGGCCAAAGAAGTACCCAAGCCCAAGGACGGAAACAAAAGTACGGATACAAGGCCAATTGGAATCGTGCTGCTAATGTAAGCATAGAATACAAGGAACGGTTGTTGATCTATGATGCTGGAGACACTCGGACAACATGGGTCTCGTTCTGGAAAGCCATGGCTTTGCTTCAATTCGGAACGACACTGGTGTTTGGCGTGCCGCCGCTGTGGAATAATGAGAACCAGCCGGATCCCAAAGTTCGTCATTTTCAAGCAATTATGGGTAAGTCTTTGTGTTGGATCCCTCATCTGCCAGTTCCTACCTCTCGTATAGTTCTGCTTTGCAAGACTGAAATGTCGTTTCATGTTACTCTCAAACATGATTTCATACCCGAGAGTTGGGGTTCATTTGCATAAAATCCCCTGGATCTGACAAAATCTAGTCGGCATTTTGGGCACAATCCCTACCTTGACACTAGCCTACGTCACAGCACCTTTTGTTCACCAGGTCTTTATCCAAATCCCTGAATATGCGAGACGTAGCAGAAAAGACCTTTCGCACTTTGCCAGCACGTTGAGAAGCAAGCCGGTAGCCACTGCAAACACGAAGCTCGAGTTTGTAACGCTCCGCATCTTCCCCTTTCGGAAACACACCACAGCCTTCATCCATGAGCTGCGGGCATTGCCTCCGATGCGCTTCCGCCTGGCAAACATTGAACTACCAAAGACCGAAGGATGGGCACGGCGCCAACGTGCAAAAGGCATCATGAAGCGGATCTGGGACGTCATCAACGAGCCGCGTTTCAAGTTCTACGTCAAGGAGGGCCGCTTCTTCACGACCAAGACGGGGGTTCCGGGGGTATGGGAAGAAGTCGCGGCGAGAATTCACGAGCAGACTGTTGAAGAGAATGAGGCGAAGCAGGCCAGGACGGGGGGGAAGAAGACGGCACTCGTTCGGAAACCAGCAGTCAGGCTGGTGAAGCCAGTTGTGAGAGAGCCGGTCAAGAGGCAGACTTCACGGCCTATACCGAAATAAGAGGGAGATTTTGGAAGGGATATAGTAGCCCAGAAATAGGATCACGTGGAATTCAGTTCAGCACATGTACTCAAGCTCACGTCCTGCGAAACAGACAGGGCACGGCATTCGATAGTCGGCGTTCGGAATTCGACCAAAGGAATTCCAGCTCCATGTGTACACCTACTTCGATTCCATTCGTGTACTATCCATAACTCGGCTTACGTGACAGACTCGATGATGCAGGGCACCTGATCGGTTGATATTGGTTTAGGCCCGCCTCGCTGATTAGTGATGGAAATACCGGTAAGGCGGGGTGAAGCCACTCCGATCCTGGGGAACAAATCAAACACCCTGCTCCTCTGGCCTTCTTCCAATAAATAGCACGCAGGCACAGGATAAATCAAGGCGTGCGGCACGGGTATCAGCCTAGGGCAACGCGTAGGGTATTTAAATGATCGCTGAGCATCTTCCACGATTTCGCGACGTAAACTACCGGTAGCAGTTTCACATCCAACTTGGTCTTGTACGGGTGGTACTTCGTATTCGTACTAGACATACCTACACAACCATCCAACCGCAAGCATGTCGCAAGCCAAAGCCGCCTTCATCAAGATCCCCACAGGCCCAGATGGATTCCAAACCTACCCAACCGACCCAGCCCGCCGGCTCGCAGACTCAGACATCAGCATCGAACCCTGCGTCCCCAGCGACGCCGAGAAAATAGTGAGTCGGACCAAGTCACATGAGAAAACGAAAAAAAAAAGGGGGAAAAACTAACATGCCCTCTCTTTTCTTCCCCGTCCAAACAGGCAGAAGGACTCTACCTCGCCTTCCCCGAATCCTGGTGGGACCAAAAAGAACCACCAGCCCTTCGTCCCCCCCAACCCATCCGCATCCAACGCATGGCCACACGTCTCCTCCCCTCCCTCACCCACCCCCACATGAAATGGATCAAAGCGGTACTCACACATACACACGAAACCATTGGAATCGCAGGCTGGATGGCACCGAGCAACCATCCAAGCGTGCACAATATTTTCCGGCGCAGTGCGGCGGAGCACTACGGGTGGCGGGAGCGCATGGGGTGGAGCGAGGCTGCGGTGGAGGAAATGTGGCGGCATACGGATGATGAGGAGTGGAGTGTGCGGTTTGCGAGGGATGATGAGACGAGGAGGGATGTGATGGGTGGGGAGCGGCATTGGTATCTGGCGCCGCTGGTGACGTGGCCGGGGTATCAGGGGCGAGGGGTGGGGAGGAGGTTGTTGGGGTGGGCTATGGAGCAGGCGGATCGGACGGTGCCGGTGACGCCGTTGTATTTGGAGAGTGCGCCGTCGGCGAGGGCTGTGTATTTGCATTGTGGGTTTGTGCCCGTGGGGGAGTATAATTTTGTGATGATGGGGCCGGCGGTTGTGGGA